TCATCCATGTTTTTCAGAGAATTTCATTCTTTTAATGGCATAGCAGTATTTCATTGTGTGTGTATACCATATTTTCTTTACTCATTCATCAGCTGATGGGCACGTAAGTTGATTAAATTTCTTGGTTATTGTAAGCAATGGAATTTCCTTTGGATACATACTAGTAATGAAATTTCTGGATTATATGGTAGTTTTGTATTTTTATTTAAGTTACTTCTATACTGTTTTCCATAATGATTGTGTTAATGTATAGCTTGTAAATACTTTTTCCCAACCTGTAGGTTATCTTCTTCACTCTGTTTACTTCATTTGCTGTGTAGAAGCTTAAGAATTTTTTAAAACAGCAAATTGTTTTGTGTTTGTTTTCTTTTTGAGACTGACAATCTTCACGTTTTGTATGATACATTGAATCCCTTAATATTTATTGTTAATTTTTTTTCCATTTCTCTTTTACGTACCTCTTCTGTTATTTTTGCATTGATTTGCTTAATTAAATTTATTTTAGTATTCCATTTGGTCTTTTATTATTATTTAGTACTTTCTTTCTTTTTTTTTAAACTATCCTACCACTTATTCTAGAAATTATAGATGTATTTGGATGTATTCTGAATCCAGAACAGGTGCTTTAGTTTACCACTCCAATGACACCATTAGCCTCTTAAAACTGCTAAAGTTTATTACCTCCTCTCTCACCTCTTGCAACATCATGGATATGTATATTAAGGTATATGTAATTGAGCATCACAGGAAATAGTGGCTATGGTTTAATAAAGTCAGTGTCAGTTTTATGCACATAGTCATCCTTTCCAGTGTTTTTTATGCCTTTTTTCATTTCCACATTTCCATGTGGAATCATTTTCTTATGGCTTAAAGCACATGCTCTATTTTTTCCCTCTTTCCTGCAAATGTAGGCCTTCTGGCAACAAATACAGCCACTTCCTGAAAATACAATTACTTCCCCTTTGTTTAGTCCTTAAGCCTTTGTTTTTCTGAGAACTGCATTATTCCCCTTTCACTTTTCAGGAAAATTAAAAGTACAGCATATTTTTATTTATTCAGAGTGAATTTTCCAACCATTTTCTTCCTGTCCAATACTTGTCCAATTAAATACTTCCTTTAGCTCATTGATTCATTTGTTGAGGTCTCATATGGCACCCATTAATTAAATAATGAAAATCAACCAACACAGTTAAAGAATCAGGTTTTAAAGAAAGCTTAAAAATTGTAGTGTTTTCTTAAGTTTGTAGGCAAAGGTAATTATCTTTTTCTTTCAGTTAGCTGACATTTAAATGCAATAGTAGCCTTCCTTGAAAGTGTCATCTCATTGTAGCTATTATTGGTTGAAGGGCTGTTTCAGATGCTTTATGGTAATAATTTGCATTTGTCTTCTGTTTATCTATTTAATATGTCAATAAAAGTTATGAATACTCTTGCTACAGTAATTGACTTAAAAAATTTTCATAGCTAAATAGAAAATTTTGTGTACAATTTCAGTGAATAGTACATAATTCAGTCTAGCCACTCCACTAAATTAGACCTAGATAAAACTAGACCATGGACAAGAATTAACATGTGACAACTAATTATTCTATTGTTTATTTTTCTGTAGCAACACTCCTTTCCAAAAAATCAACAAAAGACTATAATATTTTAACAAATGACTTTCTTACAATTTCAGAAACAATCTCTATGTAGCATCTTTTATTTATTTATTTTTTGGGGAGAGGTACTAGGAATTGAACTCAGGGATACTCGATCACTGAGCCACATCCCCAGCCCTATTTTGTATTTTATTTAGAGAGAGGGTCTCATGGAGTTGACTAGCACCTTGCCATTGCTGAGGCTGGCTTTGAACTTGAGATCCTCCTGTCTCAGGCTCCTTATCTCACACTCCCTAGATGCTAGGATTATAGGCATGCTCCATTGTGCTTGGGTTATTATATAGCATCTTTATATCATTAAAAAGTAGTTATGGTTTTATTACTGTAAATATTTTCAACTGTTTTATGAAAAACAATAAATATTATATGATATGATTACAATGTTACCATTATATTATTATGATTTATTTTTTTATTTATTTTGTACTTTGAGATTTAACTGAGAGGTATATCACCAGTGGGGTCACATTTGTAACCCTTTATTTATTTATTTATTTATTGGTTTATTTTAATTTTGAGACAGGATCTCATTAAGTTGCCCATGCTAGTCTTGAACTTGTGATCTTCCTGCATTAGCCTAAGTTGTTGTGCATGTACCACCACATCAGGTGTTATAGCATCATTTTAAAAATTAAATTGTTATGTCTATTTTAGGCCATAAAATTTACAGAAATCTAAGAATGTTGCTCATTTGTTAAGGAAATTTAATGAACTGAAAACCCCAATCCAAATCCATTAGACACCTAAAGAATATGTGAGTATCATGGTGATATAATAGTTTAATCATGTTCTTGTTCCTTTACAAATTGCAGTTCTTATGTTGCTAGTGGTTTTTTTAGTCAAGAAAGGTGGCAGGAGTAGCTTAGATTATTGTACTGAGCCACTTGGTTAGGGAGGCTAATGCTGAACAGATTCCTCATACTCTATGCACTAGTAGAAATTATACTTGTGTTGTCTCTGTTAGATGGGGGAAGACTTCCACAGCATACTTGCCTCATTTTCACCTAACATTCTGTTTCATCAGTATTCATCACTTAATAGAATTCTATACCCGAGTCTTTTCTTTACTATGCCTTTGAAAGAATAGTTAATTGGGAACTTGGTTTACTAACTCTCTCCTACATCTGTAGAATTGACTTTTTACAGGTTGATGAATAAAGCTTTAGTTAAGATCATATATGAAATGAGAACTATAAGATTATGGATCCTAGTTACCCCACTAAATTTCTATAAGAATTTGAAGCAGCAGCAATAAACGACATCATCAAAACACAGGAAAACACAAATGACTAAACAAACCCCTAAAACCTTGATGTCATCAAGGGGAGGTTTGCTGAGTTCAAACAACCTTTATGCAAAATGTTCCTATGTTAAAAAAAAAAAAAAGTCCCAAGTCTTTAAAGTAGGACTTGCAAAGCACTTGCTTCTTTCTTCAGTATAATTATTTTCATTAACCGCATCTATTCTATCATCAATGCTAACATTTTACTCTCCAAAAGTTTAATGCTTTTCTCAATTTCTCTCTCCCTCTCCCCTGTTCCTCTCTTATCCTTTTCCCTTGGTCTACCCACTTCTTGTCACCCTCCTTTTCTCCTTCTCCCTCTCCTCTCCTCATAGCTTTCCCCAAATCACTCTCTTGTCTCCCAAGTAGTGGCAATAAACTCACTGTATTTTGGTTTCTTACTTTTTTTTTCCTGATTCCCACAAACCATGTACTGAAGGAGAGAACACAACTCTCTTGCTTGTCATTTTGTCTACAGTATTCAGAATAGTAGCTGATACACTCATGGTAGTCAATGAATACATGTTTGTTGAATGAGCAACATGAAAGTATGACTACTACATCTGGTATTTCTAATTTAGAGAATTGATGTAGCTATGTAAATAAATTTTCTGATTACTTGGCTATCTTTGAAACTGAAAAATTCTGCTGGGAAGAATATTAGCTGTGTTTAAACTCTATTTTCATGAGCTCTTCTAAGATAATCTCCCAGAAAAACATCTACTGAGCATTCAAAGCTATTATTCATTATACTGTTTTACTAGTGATAGATTTTTTAAAAAACTCCAGAGTGACAGAAAATATTATTACTATGTGTGTCAGTTTCTACATTATTTAAGTATTTGTTACAGTGGATTAGGAAATCTAGGTATCACATACAAGAAGGTTTGCATGTTTGCACTTATAAAGTTCTAAGGCTAACAATTTAGAAAATCTGGTTGCCAAACAAAATGAAAGCATTACTTTGAGAAAAGAGAGAGTGTGTGTGTGAGAGAACAATAACAGTTGTATAACAATATAAGGTCAGCCTCCAGCTATGATTTCTTCTCTAGTGATCCACAGATGACAGACTGAGAGTATTAGGTTACATCTTCATCAGCTGTCAATCATATCATTTTGAACACAGATCTTTAAACTTCTGTTGACAAAGCATTTTTATAATTGGAATTACACCTCAAGATTTTGTTATGATATATTTAAATTGAGTACATGTATTTGTGGAACAGTGCTTTAATTATCTAAAATTTTGTATCTGAACACTTCTAAATACCAATTTTGTGTATAACACTAATACAATGACTATGCTATAATAATTGTCTATTTCATAAAAAAATTAAAATAATTTTCCAGTCACCTTATATCAGAGAAAATATTCTGCATTTTTTTTTGGGGGGGGGGGAATTGGCTAAATTCACTTAGCATTATCTTCTCCAACACCATCCATTTGCCTGCATATGCCATGATTTTATTCTCTTTTATTGTGGGGTAGGGAGGGGGAGCATGGGAGGAATAGACAAACTCTAGATAAGGCAGAGGGATGGGAGTGGAAGGAAGGGGACAGTGGGTGGAATGTGATGGACATCATTATCCAAAGTACATGTATGAAGACACAAATTGGTGTGAACATACTCTATATACAATCAGATATGAAAAATTGTGCTCTATATGTGTAATAAGAATTGTAATGCATTCTGCTGTCTTTATTTTAAAAATCAATAAAAATAAAATAAATAATATTTCATTGTGATCACTCTAATAAACATGTTAAAATATTTACTTCATGAATCAAGTTCATTATTTTTCTTAGGGACATAACTTTCTGTAGTGCACGTGGAAAATTTAGGAACTCAGAAAAATCTGGTGCTTATCTTCCCGATTAATCATACCTATAGCCATGTTTTTAATACACAATCATCATTATTACTCTGTGTATATGGTGGGTGAAAATCACCTTTTCTGAAAACAATGTAATATATATTCTTCCATTGACTCTTAACAAAATTCTGTTCTCCATATGTGAAGAATGCAACAATGATAGGCATCTAAAAAAAGAATAAATCCACTTTAATTCATGATTGTAACTATTGGGTGTGCATGCTGTTGTGTGAAATGTGCTTCTCTCCTGAATCTTGTTAAGATATCAACACCTTACCTGCCTGATGTGAACTTGGGAAACAAAAAGGCTAAAGTGTTACTAGTGTAGTAGGAGCAGGATATGTTGTGGTGCTAAAGAAATAAGGCAGTTGGCAGTTTAATGCAACCAGTTATCAATCAGAAGAGGCTCACAGAGTGGAATCTGTGTCAGAGACATCATCCAGACATGGGGTTTTAAAGATTGAGGTTAAGAAAACAATATGTATCTTAGGATTTTAAAATTTGGTTTATATGAGCAGTTAAATATACTCAAGGGATATTTTATTCCTCAATCATAAATCAGTGCTGAGAAGAGTTCATAAAACTGCTATGGGAAGTTTCTACTTGCCACCACAGTACATTCTTAAAAACCTTAACATAGAGCAGATTGATATAAAAATTTTATATTTTCTCACAGGAACAATGTTATAATTTGATGTTCTATGGTAGACCAAGCACCAATAAATCATGGACATGACTGAAAATATGTCTAAAGTAAGACATATAACTATAAATGCATGTCATAATTCTAAATGATAAAAGTATATACCATTTTTTACACAATAGGCATAAATGTACCATTCACTCTTATCATAATACACCTCAATGAATCGTAAAATTAAAGTAGAATATATAAAAATATAATTCTACTGGATTATAAAGTGTACCTATCCACAAGACTTACTTAATTTTTGTTACTTCCTACTTCCCTTCTCTTAGAAGCTCCCCATTCTATAAGAGTAACTAAAAGTTACTGCATTAAATGTGAATTTTGGTTGTCAAATCCATATCACTTCCAACTTCATTAAATGGTGAAATAGATGTTTCTTAGACTCAAATGTGGGAAATATAAATTAGCTATTTTTTAATCCTGTTCCTAAGCCTAATATGGTATATACATGGTACTGTTTGCTAAGAGCCAAGTATATGATGCATGGCATTTTTAGTCTAAAGGTGACGCCAGCTAGCCATTGAGATGATATGATTATGTTAAGATTTGCATTCATATGGATATTGGACTCCTGCTGTTCACCTAGGCCGGCTACGGGACTCCTGGAGAGTTCCCATTGGTTGGGGAAGTACAGTAGGAGGGAGTTCCGGGGGAGGAGCTCTCTCTGCGGGTCCAGGAGGAGGCCGCGTGGGTGGAAAAAATCTTCCCGGGCGCATACCGGACATTGGCGGCAGTTTCAAAAAATAAACTTTGTTCCTGCTTGAGTGGCTCGTGATTTTGTGCCCAGCCAGACTGCGGCAACTGGCGGCCCGCACGGGGAACGCCTGAAGCTTGGAGGTGAATAAAATTGCTCGCCCCTGAGGGAAGGCAACAAAATGGGTGACCATTTCAAAAAACAATGTGTTCTCGTTTTGATTTATCTTGTTTTTGTTTCAAGCTGCCTATCCCTAGAATTTTCTCAGGCAAACTGGGAAAATTGGTTGGCTCAAGGTTTGAAGTTATTCGGCCCTAAGAAAGAGAAAATTGATACAACTATTCTTTGTTCGGTTTTTGTTTCATTCTGTTTCGGTTTTGTTTTATGCTATCTTATTGGGTTGCATTACCTTTATAGTAGATTAGAAACTAGTAAAAAACAAACCGAAAGACTATTAAGTAAATTGTTAGAGGTCCAGACTATGGTAGAAAACATGTTAGGTCAAGCGAAAGAGAAGGTCTCTCAAGCTAGTCAGACAGAGGAAGATTTAAAGAAAGAAAGCTTAGAGGAAAAACAACCATCAGGCGGGGAATTACAACAGGAGGCTACTACTAACCCCGTTCTATCACCAGAGGGCATAATTCAACCAACAGCTCCATCTACAGCTGAGCAACCCTCAACTCCCGTAGTTGATGGACGGAATCCTGAGGCAGGACCCCAAAGATTAGCATGCCCTGTACTTGAGCAGGCAGGAGGGCAACGAATTCACCGTGCTTTAGATTTCAAAACAGTGAAGCAATTAAAGGAGGCTGTAACAACCTACGGGCCACAAGCACCCTTCACTGTGAGCATGGTCGAATCCATTACCAACTTAGACATGACGCCAGCAGATTGGGCTAACATATGTCGATCTGTGCTAAATGGAGGACAATATTTGTTATGGAAGGTTGCCAATGAGGAATTTTGCATGGAGACAGCTAGGCGAAATGCAACAGCCGGTTACCCTCAAAGAAATCTAGAGATGTTATTAGGAAAAGGACCTTATGAGGGTCAACGGCAACAAATTGAATATGATCCTGGCGTATACGCACAAATTGCTGCAGACGCAGTTAGGGCATAGAAAACTTTACAGGGGCATGGAGATTTACAAGGACAATTATCTAAGGTAATACAAGGAGCTAATGAACCTTACGCTGAATTTGTAGATAGGCTTATTCAGACAGCATCTAGAGTATTTGGAGATACAGAACAGGCAATGCCATTTATAAAACAACTGGCTTATGACCAAGCAAATCGTTGCTGCAGAGAGGTCATCAGACCATGGAAACATGAAGATTTAAACACATATATTAAATTATGTAGAGACATTAATGAACAAGGGCAAGTCTTAGCAGCAGTACAACAGGCTTTAGATGCCAGGCCAAAAACATGCTATAATTGTGATCAAACAGGACATTTTAAAAGGAGTTGCCCCATAGGAGGAGGGTTTAACAAGGCTAGGTATCAAAGGAATAGAATACCGGGTATTTGCCCACGATGCCGTAGAGGGAAACATTGGGCTAATGAATGCCGTTCTCAAACCACCATAGAAGGTATTCCGTTATCAAAAAACAGACAAGGACCAAGTGTTTACCCACGATATCGTGGAGAAAGACATCAGGCTCCATTGCCAAAAAACGGACTGAAGGGCCCAATGCTCCGGGGCCCACAACCACAAATATACGGGGCAATGGAGGAACCCAGCAACACCATCAAGGTAGTGCCCAGGACGCATTATCCATTAAATCCCTCATCAGACAAACTAGAGGGAACGCAGGGTTGGACATCTGCGCCTCTGCCAGAGCAGTACTAACTCCAGAGATGGGAGTTCAAATCATTCCCACAGGAGTAAAAGGACCTCTTCCCCAAGGAACAGTAGGCTTATTATTGGGACGCAGTTCTTCAACACTAAAAGGACTTATAATAAGTCCTGGGGTAATTGATCCCGATTATGAAGGTGAAATAAAAATTATAGCTAATTCTCCAAGAGGTATATCAGTAATTTCACCAGGAGATAGAATAGCACAGTTATTAATAATACCCAGCCTACATGATAAATTTTCCAGTCGTACTGTAGAAAGAGGTTCCAGGGGATTAGGCTCCACAGGTGTAGATTGGGCTATGCTGTCTTTAAATCTAGATTCTCGCCCAATGCTAAAACTAAATATTCAAGGACATGACTTTAATGGGCTACTTGATACAGGTGCAGACCTTAGCATAATATCTCGTCAAGAATGGCCAAAACACTGGCCATTACAACAAGCCACTCAAACGCTTCGAGGCCTAGGAGTGGCAACTAATCCCCATAGAAGTGCAATGGTATTAGATTGGAAGGATCCTAAAGGATGTGAAGGAACTATACAGCCCTATGTATTGGATCATCTTCCTATAAATTTATGGGGACGAGATGTCCTAGATCAATTAGGTTTGACATTAACAAATAACATCAATCCTAATGCGCCCACTACTAGAGCTAGACAAGGCTTTAGGAAAGAAGAAAGATTAAGAAAACAAGAACAAGGTATGACAGCACCAATTCAAATAGATCAAAAAACAAATAGACATGGATTGAGTTTTCAGAAAGGGCCACTGAGACAATCAAAATTACTTGGAAATCAAAAAGACCAATGTGGGTTCCTCAGTGGCCCCTGACTAAAGAAAAGATACAAATAGCCCATGACCTGGTCAAACAACAATTAGCGGAGGGACATATACAACCTTCCGTGTCTCCCCATAATACTCCCATTTTTGTCATTAAAAAGAAATCTAATAAATGGAGATTGTTACAAGATTTAAGAGCCATTAATAATGAGATGGTTATTATGGGACCTGCTCAATCAGGGATTTCCCAATTGTCTGCTTTACCAAAAACCTGGTATGTTTTAGCTATAGATATTAAAGATTGTTTTTTTTCAATTCCAATTCATCCCGAGGATAGTCCACATTTTGCATTTACTATCCCTGCACTAAATCATGAAGGTCCTAATCAGAGATATGAATGGAAAGTACTCCCTCAAGGGATGGCTAATAGTCCAACTATGTGTCAAATTTATGTTAACAAAGCAATCCAGCCACTTAGAAATCAAAATCCTGAACTACAAATATTTCACTATATGGATGATGTGTTATTGGCACATAAAGATAAAAACACATTGCTAAAATGTTATGCCACACTTACAAATTTATTAAAAAATTATAATCTAGAGATAGCAATAGATAAAGTACAATTAAATCTTCCAATTAATTATTTAGGGGTTTTATTATCCTTAACCATGGTCCGTCCACCCAAAATTCAAATACGAGTAGATCAACTCAAATCACTTAATGACTTTCAAAAGTTATTAGGAGACATAAATTGGATAAGGCCTTATCTAGGCATACCAACAGGAGAGTTGGGACCTTTATTTGATATTCTAAAAGGTCCATCAGATCCAAATTCACCCCGCATGTTGACGCCTGAAGCAAGAAAGGCATTAAAAATCATTGAAACATATATGGAAAATATGCATTTGGATAGAATTGATATAAGTTTGCCTTTATTATTTATTGTACTGCCAACAAAAAATATTCCTACAGGAGTATTCTGGCAAGAAGGTCCATTATTGTGGATACATTTATCTTATTCTCCTAACACTATTCTTACTAGGTATCCTGAGGCTGTAGGACAATTAATACTCAAAGGAATAAAAGCAGCCAAGGGAATATTTGGGATTTCTCCCAATAAAATTATTACTCCATATACTATAGATCAAATTGATGAGTTAGCTAATGAGTTAAATACTTGGGCAATAATCATGTGTAAATCTAATGTTTCATTTGATAATCACTTACCGTCTAATCCTTTG